CTATATTAGGTCTGGGATTTTGTCTTTATTTCCTCGGTGAGCTGTCAATAATCTCTCAGGGTGATTCCTAGCAGACCAGAGAAAGTTCCCACTCATCCATCATTTCTCCTTCTGTGCAGTACATCTCATCATGATGGCTTCAGCACCAAAGCCCTAAAAAATACTTCTTAATTTCCCATCTGAACTGATTTGGATTCTGACCTGCTGTTCATTTTGATTAGAAATAAATCTGATGTGTTTCTTTAAGGGAACTTTTATGGTTCTGTTTGCATGATGTCTTGTTTCTTTGGGTCTGTTCCTAATCAGGTGTGGGTTTGGCTAAAATATTGAATTTTAATAAAGGAATAGAATTACAGTTCATTCATGTTTTAAACCAACCGGTCTGTTCCAAATTACACCAGCTCCCTTTACCTGCACCCCTTAGTAAATACACATTTTATATTTACTTAGATTGTCTATGATATAAAAAGTTACATACCATGAAAAAAATATTGAATTGTTAGGATCCTTCATCTAACCATCTAAAGGCCCTTGAATGAGGTGGGGCCCAAAAGAAGAAGAAAATATGTTCCACTAGATATTTCAAATAGAAAAATTAAATCCAGCAGTAAAATACATAATTTTTGTGTTCTCCCTCATTTTTAAGCAGTAAACAGTAAAATAAAGCATGAATAAATTGACCAAGTTTTTTATTCACCAGTTTATCTAGTTACTGTATATTTAACTTTTTCCTGCTCTGATTATTTTACTTTTTAGAAATTGTACAATAAAAATGACATTGAAAATGTAAATGATACTCTTCAGAGCATGGGCGGTTCTAGGACCAGAGGTTTAGTGGTGCTGAGCCCCCACAGAGCTGTCTGATAGAACAAAATTCATTTCATTGTTTTCTACAGATATTTTTGAAACTTGTTCAGTGCGTTTTGCTAATGACTGACTCCATCGTTCACTAATGCATCGTATCCGAGACGTGAGCCAAAAACCCAACAAGCAGAGCAAAAAGCAGCAATTTTTAGAAGAATATTCCAACCAATTAAAGCTTTTAAATCAACTCATTTCATGGAAACCTTTGAATTAGTTTTTTCGTATCAGGTTTTTCCTGACCTTTCACTTTGCACACACCTCACTCCTCTTTCTACACCTCTCCCTCTTTACACTGGTACTCATTAAATGGATTATACATGCAAATAACTAGAAACAAAAAAAAAATTATACAGATTTAATAATGATTCTGTAAATTTAAATATTGATATTGAGTTTTGGTTTTAAAGATAATCAAACAAAGCAGTCTCAGACACATTAAAGCACCTCGCTGGTGAACATTTCACCAACACACCATCAATAGGTGCAGAAATCTGACTGAACATTTCAGAAACATAACTGTACAGGTGCTGGTCATAAAATTAGAATATCATGAAAAAGTAGATTGATTTCAGTAATTCCATTTAAAAAGTGAAACTTGTATATTATATTCATACATTACATACAAACTCATATATTTCAGATGTTTATTTTGTTTAATTTTGATGATTACAAATGACAACAAATGAAAATCTCAAATTCATCATATCAGAAAATTAGAATATTGTGAAAAGGTTCAAAATTGATGGCCCCTGGTGCCACACTCTAATCAGCTAATTAACTCAAACCACCTGCAAAAGCCTTTAAATGGTCTTTCAGTCTAGTTCTATAGGCTACACAATCATGGGGAAGACTGCTGACTTGACAGTTGTCCAAAAGACGACCATCGACACCTTGCACAAGGAGGGCAAGACACAAAAGGTCATCGCTAAAGAGGCTGGCTGTTCACAGAGCTCAGTGTCCAAGCACATTAATAGAGAGGCGAAGGGAAGGAAAAGATGTGGTCGAAAAAAGTGTACAAGCAAGAGAGATAACCGCACCCTGGAGAGGATTGTGAAACAAAACCCATTCAAAAATGTGGGGGAGATTCACAAAGAGTGGACTGCAGCTGGAGTGAGTGCTTCAAGAACCACCACACACAGACGTATGAAAGACATGGGTTTCTGCTGTCGCATTCCTTGTGTCAAGCCACTCTTGAACCACAGACAGCGTCAGAAGCGTCTTGCCTGGGCTAAAGAGAAACAGGACTGGACTGCTGGTGAGTGGTCCAAAGTCATGTTCTCTGATGAAAGTAAATTTTGCATTTCCTTTGGAAATCAAGGTCCCAGAGTCTGGAGGAAAAGAAGAGAGGCACTTCATCCACGTTGCTTGAAGTCCAGTGTAAAGTTTCCACAGTCAGTGATGGTTTGGGGTGCCATGTCATCTGCTGGTGTTGGTCCATTGTGTTTTCTGAGGTCCAGGGTCAACGCAGCCACATACCAGGAAGTTTTAGAGCACTTCATGCTTCCTGCAGCTGACCAACTTTTTGGAGATGCAGATTTCATTTTCCAACAGGACTTGGCACCTGCACAAAGTGCCAAAGCTACCAGTACCTGGTTGAAGGACCATGGTATCCCTGTTCTTAATTGGCCAGCAAACTCTCCTGACCTTAACCCCATAGAAAATCTATGGGGTATTGTGAAGAAGAAGATGCAATACACCAGACCCAACAATTCAGAAGAGCTAAAAGCCACTATTAGAGCAACCTGGGCTATCATAACACCTGAGCAGTGCCACAGACTGATCGACTCCATGCCACGCCGCATTGCTGCAGTAATACAGGCCAAAGGAGGCCCAACTAAATACTGAGTGCTGTACATGCTCATACTTTTCATGTTCATACTTTTCAGTTGGCCAACATTTCTATAAATCCTTTGTTTTTATTGGTCTTCAGTAATATTCTAATTTTCTGATATGATGAATTTGAGATTTTCATTTGTTGTCATTTGTAATCATCAAAATTAAACAAAATAAACATCTGAAATATATGAGTTTGTATGTAATGTATGAATATAATATACAAGTTTCACTTTTTAAATGGAATTACTGAAATCAATCTACTTTTTCATGATATTCTAATTTTATGACCAGCACCTGTATATAACTTTTTACATAACTATAAAAACCCTTTTTAATAGTAATATCCACCTGTATAGTATATTCGGTACATATCCAGCTGTAAATTTAGTTCATAACTCTAGTTATCTATATATTATATTCATATATTAGTAAGATTCTGTTTATAGAGGTATTCATCTCTATACTTATTCAGTAGAACCCCATGTCCTGTTTTTTATAGAACCATTATTTATCCTGCACTTGCTGCTATTGCACTTCTGCTTAGATCTAAACTGCATTTCGTTGCCTTGTACCTGTACCTGTGTAATGACAATAAAGTTGAATCTAATCTAATCTAAACACCTGAATGCAGCGTTTTCCTCAAAGCATTTTAGTTAAAGAGCTCAATCAGGCTAGTTTTGTCATGAAACGCGGACAGATGGACCCAGTATTCAAGGAGAGACAGTCAGTAGGAAAGTTAAAACGTTTATTAAATAAAACAAAAACAAAAACGGAGCTGTGGCTCGGGGAAACTGCAGGCAGGGGGGCGGGGCACTACCCAATCTCAGACACTCTAGGGGAAAAAGCACAGGAAAGTGACCACGATCAACTGATATTTGATTATCTGGGTTGGTCACTTACCTGGTTTAACAGTCCAGACCACGAGTGTCCCCAAGTGCTGCAGTCCCAGAGGTCATGATGGAAGCTGATCCTGGTGAGGGATCCAGAACAGGCAGGAACAGACAGAAACAGGCAGGGCCAGATCAGGCAGGAACAGACAGAAACAGGCAGGGCCAGATCAGGCAGGAACAGACAGAAACAGGCAGGGTCCAGATCAGGCAGAAACAGAGACAGGTGGCAGGATCCAGACTTCCAGGCATCCACAGGCTCCCAGGAGGGTTCAGAGTCCGACTGGGACCAGAAGCATGACCAGGTGGTCACGCACAGGAGCAGACAGGATCAGGTGCAGACAGGCAGGCACAGTGGAAGAGAGTAGCTGAGACAGGACGTGGAACTGGAACTTGAAGCAGGACTTTAAACTGGTCTCCTCCCTGGAGCCAGGCTTACTGGATAAAAACTGAACCTCCCCCCATAATGAGCCAAAAACCCAGAGGACTCCGCGGGGGAGGAACAGTGGATGATCAGGAGACGAGACAAACACTAAAACCCTCTTTCCACTGGCTGCTAGGATCCAGGATATGAACCAAATAAAACAGAACAGAAAGACTGGCAGAAAGACAAGCAATGATCTGGCCCTGAATGCTCAGGCTGAACTGAATATAAACCACAGGAAACAGGTGAGAGGAATAAATTATAATTGAGGCAGGGAGGGGAAAACGACAGGTGAAAGGAATTACTAATTAAGGGAGAGCAAACAGGCCAGATCATGACAAGTTTACTTGTTTTTTTTTTGTTTGTTTTTTTTTTTTTTTTGTTTATTATTATTTCTGATGACCGAGGACATAATTGAAGGGGTTAAATAACCAAATACTGTATAGTTTTTACAATGTCATATTTTTATTTATTTATTTATTTTTCCTAATGTAAAAAGCGCATACAGTATTAAAAAAAACAACTCATATTTTAGGGGTGTATTGATTCAAATTAGGGTTGCTTCAGCACCCCCAAGCTGGCAGCTACTTCGATAGATGTTAAAGTAAAAGTTAGGAGACGGGTTGGTTAAAAAAATTAGAGATGCCACCAAAATGGCAACAGATTGTAAGTTTATACAAGTTAGTAATATAATGCAAGAAGCTTGAGAAAACATTGTCTAATTGTTGTGCTATCGATGTCTTTCATGGGGCCCCAAATTCCTGATTGTAACTGTTTATTTGAAGTATTATTTAGACCAGCCTTCTTTATCAGACGTGATTTGATGCTACAGTTACAGTTTTTTGGTGCATCACTTTATCAGCAGCCTCTGGCTCGTCACGTGCCCGGTCATTGGATGTCATAGAGGTGTGTGAGGAGCACCAAAATATGGCGCTATCATTTCCAGCCAATGAGCAGCCGGTTTGTAACAGGTTTCAGCTGCCGTCACCGCAGCGACGGGGACGCGCAGCCAGGACAGGAAAGGATTGAGAGGCATCGGGGTCGCGCTTGTCGTGCTGCTCTGCCAGGTTCAGCATTATGGGGGATCCTGGACCCCGAGGCGAAGGGGACCCTCACCGTCTGCGCCGTCCATCGTCTGTTCATCCATAACCGGACAGTGAGTGACCTGCAGCGGGGGGGGCGGTGTTTCATCACAGCTGCTGGGAGCTTAACCAGGAGACACGGACGCTTTGGGGAAACTGGGAAGTCTACTAACTAAAGTCTATACCGCATCGAACTGAGTGGAAACGATGAACAAATTGGTGATTAGCGTCCGGTCTGGTCAGCCTGGGCCAAACGGAACAGGCTGGGCTCTTCCAGAGTGAGGTCGGCTCCCATCTGTTGACCTCTCCGCCGGGCGGCGATGTCCGCTTTCTGCCTGGACCTGCAGACGCCTGCCGTGCTTTCAGCACCACTAGAGCTGGACAGCGACTGCATGGAGCCGCGCGCGGGCCCCGGCGCCCAGCAGCCCGGCGGCTTTCAGGGCCACCAGCCGCCGCCAGCCGGCTCCGGAGGCCTCGGCACGGCCTTGGAGGAGGAACTGGCCTTGATCAGCGGGGAGCGGGGAGGCGAGGAGCAGCTGGCGGAGCTGGAGGCGCCTGCATCGGGGCAACACGCAGACATGCTGCTGCTCTTCCGACAGAAGGAGAAGGACTTGGTTTTAGCAGCTAAACTGGGTAAAGCGCTGCTGGAGAGAAACCAGGACCTGACCAAGCAATATGAGAAAATGCACAAAGATCTCTGTGAGAAGTTGGAGGTAAACAAGAAATCATTCAAGTTTCATTAGAATATCACAGCTTTACAGTCTGGAAAACTAACCTATGGTATTTTTAAACTGATTTGTTTTTGGCTGTAAAAAGTTGTGCATCATCTGGATCAATTGTAGATCAACTATAAAAAGCAGCCCTGTTGCTTTTTGTGTCTCTGCTTCTGTCTCCTTGAACCCCAGTGGGCCTCAGCAGATGGCCGCTCACACTGAGCCTGGTTCTGCTGGAGGTTTCTTCCAGTTAAAAGGAAGTTTTTCCTCTCCACTGTCGCTACAAGCATGCTTAGTGTGAGGGATTGCTGAAGAGTCAATGAGTCGATGCAATCAACTGGTTTTCCTTCAATAGAAAACTTTGAATCAATCTGACTGGATGATCTGGTGAACTATAAAGTGCCTAAAGATGACATGTTGTGAATTGAAGCTATAGAAATAAACTGAATTGTATAAAAATTTACAAAGAAGCTGAGAAAACAGTCAAATGCAGGGGGTGGGGGCTTTAGATCATCTTGTTTCTAAATGCTTGACATGAGCTAAGCGGAGGAAAACACCCAGAAAGGTTAATCCTGTTTATGCCCTGGCCCTGCAGTATCTGCCCGGCATCTGTTCAGCCCTTTGATCCATATTCATCCCTCCCCATGAGCTCAGAGGAATAAGCTGTTGCTCCTCTTCACGTCCCTCCTTTCATGACGGCTGTTGGCCAAAAGGACAAAATAGTTCAGATTCCATGTTGTTGAACCGTGATAACAACTGCTAATCAGGCTGTGATGGGGCTGAGCTGCTCAACCTTTTTTTGAAACCACTGAGGCAGAAAGAATTCAAAATAAATCTGAACTCTCTCTTCTGGAATTAACTCCTTGAACTTATAACTCTGTCATCGGGCCTTTATTTGATACACTAAGTAGAACAAAATGGCAGATTATGGATGTGGACATCCCCTCAGCACCATGCTGCCACCACCATGTGTCACTCTGACAATGGTGTTTAAAGGTGATGTTCAGAGATTAAATCACACGTTGACTGATTGTATTTAATAAATAAACTTTTTAAGGTATTTGTAAAAAAATAAGAATAAACTATGTACAATAACATTTAAGACAGTCATTGTAAGTAAACAGGTTGTAAAAAATTCAAGAAGTATAAATCAGATTTCAGTTGTTAGACTGAAAATAATTGCGTTATCTATAAGCAGTTCCTTGGTTCTTGCAGTGAAAAAGTGTCTGATGCAAAATGTATCGGATGATAAAAAATTTTAGCATGATATAATTTAATCTTTAATCTTTAAAATCAGATGTGGGTTGCATTTCTAGATACTTTACTCAAAAGATGTAGATCTACTTTAACTATTCTTTGTACCAGAGTTAAAGTAAAACATAGTAATCATAAGTAAGAGCAAAAAGGGCTATTTAGGTACAAAGCGTTTTATTTGATTTAATGTTTTAACATTAAATCAAATAAAATCCAACAGTTATTTACAAATTTCAGTATTTCAAGTGAATAAATACAATAAAAAATACTAATACAAAGTGGTGAGAGCAGTACGCTGGTGCTCTGAGAAGGTTGCAAGTACCCGGTTCGATCCCCACAGCCTCCACTCTGGGTGCCTGAGCAAGACCCTTAACCCCACAATGCTCCGCGGGCGCCGCACAAGGGGATGGGTTAATGCAGAGAGTAAATTTCCCCATTTTGGGACAACAACGGGATTTACATTTTATTTATTTGTTTTAACATTTAAATAACATGATTTCAAAATTACAATTTTGGGCAGAAGGTAGATTTTTACAAATGAATACTTTCAACTTATGTCCAGATGTAGTATTTAATGTGTACTTTATATGAACTGATTTCTGCAGAGGTGTGAAAAGCATTAATGTTTATTCCTCCAGTATAAATCCTGCTGTTTAAAAACACTTTTGTAGAAGTTAGAGGATCAACTTCGGCTTTTTACTCCAGTAAAAGTGTAAAAGTACCATTTTTAAAATGACTTAAAGTATAAAAGTAAAAGTAATGCAGGAAAAAATGTTAAGGACAGAAGCTTTCCTGTACGGAAGAGGATTAGGGCCACTGAAAAAAAAAAGTTAACTGATTTCTAAATTTTATTTCAGTTTAACATGGGAAAAAAGTCAGAATTCTGACTTTTTTCTCAGAATTCTGACTAAATTCTGACAATAAAAAAGTCAGAATTCTGACTTTTTTCCCATACTAAACTGAAATAAAATTAAAAATCAGTTAACTTTTTTTTTTTCACTGGCCTTAATCCTCTTCCATATTCCTGCTCTATCCCATTAAAGGAACATTTTGATGATAACTTCCTTAGACTTTATTTTCTTAGTTTTATAACTAATGGTAACAGTGTTATATTTAACTTTCAGTCATTTTAACCTCTTACACCCTAAGGGGGTATAAATAAATTTCTGCCTGACAAAAACACACAAAAGTAAATAACTTATAGCCTCAAAGCTATTAGATTTAAGAAGAACCTTTTGGTACGTTTGTAAAGGTAAGATGTCATAGAATGGTTTTCTGGTGTCAGCACCATTGTAGCTTTGACCCTGCCTGAAATATTAGGGACAAAATACAAAATATTTTGCATTTTTTTAACCTTGCCAAAATTTTCTTTGAAATAAACATTGCAAAACACTACCAAAATATTATTTATAGCACAAAAAAGTAGTACAGACTTTCAAATCTAAATGTTGTGTAAAAATATACCAAATTTGGACTCAATCAGATGAATCATATTTATTTTAGAATGATATTAGTGAGAAATTTCTTAGGCGGAGGGGCCATTTTGGCACATTTATCCATAAATGTCACCAAACTGTGCCAAATATGTTTTTTACATCAATACTGGGGGTTTGGTAAAACTACGAGGTCATGTAGCAGCTGGACCCACCGGTGGGTCCGTCGGGTTCAAGGGGTTAAAAAAAACTTTATTTTGGTGTTTGGTGAACAACAAGTTGGGGCAGCACCGAGTCCAACCACAAATAAATTAACTGTCTGGATGAAAGAAATTATTTTGATGTTTTTTAATTTTTTTTTAAATACCAACAGGCCATAATGAAAATGTGCTTAAATTAAACAAAATTAACAAGTTTTTAAAATATAAGTAGAAAGTAGAAATAATTGCAAAAAAAATGTAAGGAGTTGAAGTAAAAACATGTCTAAATAAATAATTACTCCAATGAAGTATGGATTGTCAAAATTCTACTTAAGTAAAGTAGCAAAGTATTTGTACTTTGTTAAAAGACGCATCTGGATTTCTGAATAGCTCAGTTTACTCATGAGAGCAACAAGACGTTTTACTCCAGAATAGCCGTATTCTCACAAGAAACAATTTCAGTGAAAGTAAAAAGTCTGCTGAAGTTCACCCAGACATAGAGGTAGTTTCTACGGAAGAGGATTAGGGCCACTGAAAAAAAAAAAAAGTTAACTGATTTTTACATTTTATTTTAGTTTAACATGGGAAAAAGTCAGAATTCTGACTTTTTTTTCTCAGAATTCTGACTTTTTTTAACGTCAGAATTCAGTCAGAATTCTGAGAAAAAAGTCAGAATTCTGAGATTAAAGTCAGAATTCTGACTTTTTTCCCATGTTAAACTAAAATAAAATGTAAAAATCAGTTAACTTTTTTTTTTTTTTCAGTGGCCCTAATCCTCATCCGTAAGTTTCTGCTCTAAAAAGGACTTAAGTAAACATGAGTGAAGGAATGAACCTCTGGTTCCACAAAGATTCCCTATAAGGAAAATAATTCCTCCCATTTGGAAATATTCAGTAAAAGGACCTCATCCAGCTTAGCTTCTGTTTCCAGAACTTTTCCAGCACTTTTTAAGCATTCATAACTGTCTTGGGAAAATATATATTTTTTTTATGAAATATGAGGTTGTGACTGAAGCACCATCCTTTCTGCGTCTGTAACCTTTGACCTGCCCCTCCTTTACCCTTAGCACTTGGAGCAGGAGAAGCACGAGTTACGACGGCGCTTCGAAAGCCGAGAGGGCGAATGGGAGGGCCGTGTGGCCGAGCTGGAGACGGACGTCCAGCATCTGCAGGGCGAGCTGGAGCGCCACCAGGTCCAGCTGAGAGAGGCGGACCGGGACAAGACCAAGACCATCGGCGAACTCTCCGAGCAGAACCACAGACTGCTGGAGCAACTCAGTAGGGTGAGGAGGAGTGTGTCGGTGTGCGTGCTGAGTTTCTGAGGTACGGCTTTAGGCCACCTGGGCAAACCTGCAAGCAAGATTTAATTAGCTTGGGCTTTGTGTTGTAATGCTTCCATAAATGGCCTTACAAAAACATGTGCAGGGGTGGATGTAGGAAATTTTGGGCCCTAGGCAAAGACAGGCAGGGGGCCCTCTGAAATGAGAACACAACACATCAAACAGCCCCATTCTACAGATAGAGAAATGTTAATAGAACAGACATCCATTATCTGTTCTAGGTTGTGTCCCTCTCTTCTTGTCCCTTTTCTTCTTGTTTTCCTCTCTATGTTTTGTACTCAGCTGACTTTTCATGCTGTCTCTAAAGGAATGAAAGATTTTTTCCAAGCACTAAGCTCACTTAGCTGATTGCTCCTTCCTGTGTTTCCAAAAAGGCCAAAGTAAATAACCCAGTCCTTCTTTTCACTGTAGACAAGCCATGATGTGCTTATCTGTTCTCCATTTTTCATTTGGATGAAATAATAGCTGCATGAATCATGACAGCAGACAAGATAGAGGAGAGCAGGAGGCGGGGTTACCAATCCACTTGCTCTGGAGAGCAGAGTTCGCTGCTTTTAGATGTTGTCTCCAAAGTCTCCAGTAGCAGAAAAAAGTCTCTAGATTTGCACTGGAAAAAATCGAAATCTAGATAAATCATTTTTTCTTAAAATAAGTGCATTTGTTCTTGGATTGAGGAGGTAAAAGAGACATTTTGCCAGTGGAACAAGCAATTTACACTTAAAAAAAACACAATTGCATTGTCTTATTTCAAGTGCACATGGTTTAAATATCTTATTTTAATAGTAAAAACACTCATTCCATTGGCAATTTCATTTACCTACTCAAATTAATGGGAAATACTCTTAATTTAAGGAATGTTTACTTATTTCTAGATAATCTTTCCAATGTGGCGCTAGCCGCTTTTTTAAATCAAAGTGCTAGAGGGGTCTGAAAAGTGGCTAAATATAGCGACTAAAGCGCTAAGTTGGCAACACTGCTCTTTGCATGGTTTGTTTTCAAATGGTTTGCTGCTGTCTGTTTGGACCTTTCTGAATATGTGCAGCAAATGGACTGATCCAATATGGTGGACACTGAATGGGGCGGGGCTGAGACACACTTTGTATTATCAGCGTTCTGATGGCATTTTAGCCAAAGGATTTTAATTAAAAACATAATTAATGTGCATAAATAAGCAATATTTGTATGAACCATACATGTAAACAGAGTTTTATGGGGCCCCCAAGAACTTGGGACCCCAGGCAACTGCCTAGTATTGCTAAATGGTAAATTCCTCCCTGACATAGGGGTCAGTCTGTGGACGTCCTTGCTGCTGGGCTGCAGTGACATAGGCTGCTGACTCTGAGCCAGTTTCATCTACCTGTTCAGCTTATCTCTCTCACATCAGTTGAATTATGCCGCCTCCTAAACAGAGAAGCGGGGCCTCCGGGTCTCACCTTGAATAATTCACGGGGATTGAGCTGTACACTTATGCAACAGCCCTGTGTTTATCGACAGCTGATTTGATTGCAGTTATGTATGACCAGCTGAGACGAAATGAAGAGGTTTTGAGATGGATGAGTGGACAGATGAATAGGAGCGGGGCCTGAGCAGAGCTAGAAATGTTGGCTAGAAGCTGGAGGTATATCATCAGTGGAAATGCTTGACAGACTGCAGGGTAAGCTGAGTCTGGCTGCGAGGAGGGAGGATTGATGGAGCCGCTCTTATTTAATCCGCTCTAAGAAGATCAGTGCAACTTCTCAGTCTGCTCCACTGAATCCAGGAAGGGAAGACTTCCTCCAGTCAGGAAGGTCACTAATTAAGATAATAACTTCCAAAATGACATGTATGAACATTATTTAAGAACGCTTCACAGCTGTTATTATATAGATTATGTCTAAATTATATAGTGGCTCTCATCCTCGAGGAAGTTATTATAAAACCTGAATATTGTCGTATTTTTTCATTAGCTGAGATTTTATGCGACAGAACGAGATGAGTTTCATTTTAAAAGTTCAGCAAAGTTTGTTTATAGGTTTTAAAAAATGTAGCAAATATAAATCAGAAAGATTCAGTTCTCGGCTTAGATGCAGCTGTTCTGTTTCTGGCTTCAGGAGGTTGGATTTTAGCAACACTTCATTTACAAAATTCAAACAATAGAATCAATAATTGATGTAAAATCAGTTAAAATCACTATTAAGGTAAAAACAAGTGTGAGCTAAAAATGATTAAATGAGGAGCTTGTTGAACTGCAGTTCTACTTCTTCTGACGCATTATATAAAATGTTTAAACCCCCCAGTTGGATCAAATCCTCCATGTTTTGTGTGGCTCTGAGGAGGTGAAACTCAGCCTTATTCTGGCTTTAATGTTGCACTTCACAGAGCCACGGCATCAAAGTGAGCTCCCTCCTTCAGTCTGTCTCTGCGAGACAGGTAAACGGCCATCTTTGCTTCACTAATTAAAATGTTTTAAAGGTACACTATGCAACCGGTGTTGATTTTCCAGCGAGGCTCCCCCCAGAGGCCGAAAATAAAAGTGCACTGTCGTAAATATGCTCAGCTGTTCTCCTGGTTTCTCCGTCAAGCCAGGCGCGGTTGTTTTGAGCTTAGCAGACAGGCGAACGCAACGAATGACTAACACAGTGAAAGTATGAACATGCACACAGAGAGAGAGAAACCATTCCAATGTTACTTACAATCGCATCAGCAGAAACGCGAGGTCCGCGTCAGCCTTGCAGCCTTCTTTTTATTTTAGCTCTCGCCATTCGGAAAAAGCTTGCCCGATGTTCACCCGTGTACGACTCCTCTCTCTGTCCGGAGCCCTTTTCCTCTTTCTTGCCTGCTCCGACATGGGCTTTCGCTGTTTTCACGCTGGTTCCGCCATGATAACTGCACAAAGATCGCCACTGCGCTAGCGACGAGCATGCTTTTAACTGGGGGCGTGTAGCAGTTCTCGCCGTAAAGCAAGACCGACTCTCGCGAGACTTCTGAGCCTGTGGGTGCGGGCCGAGGGCTCCTGCAATTGCAAGTGCGGTATTTCCCCCACAGACCACCAGGGCGGCCGAGAATACCTTTGTTCAACCTGAAATGACTCATTTAATCATCCAAAACGTTATGGAACACATTAATTAACTGAAAAATGTTGCATAGTATGCCTTTAAAGTCGGGCCTTCGGCTTATTTTTCCTATTCTGGAAAACTCCTCCTATAAAAAGAGCGTTTGTAAAAAAAAAAAACATCCCAAAAAGACAAAAAACTGATAAAAAAATACAAAAAAATTTGTCTTTAGTCTTGTGCATTCTGTAAAACCGTGGACACATTTTCAGACAGACCACAGAAAGGACGCTCGTTTAAAACACCCCCATTAATAACCGATAAAAACCAGTTTGTGGCGATGGCACCGTGTAAAATCCTCCATTGGAGCTCACCAGTTGTTTTTTTAATTGGAGGCCTGTATAAAATCCTCCACTAGGGGGCTTTTCCCTAGAGTTTTTCTGTCCAGATGCAGACCGGCCGGTTCCGAAGACGTCTTTTGCTTATTGCTTTTGAGCAGCTGTGTTAAAGGGCTTTCTTCCTTCGATAAAACCATTCTCTGTGGGTCCAGGCCGGAGAGCAGAGGTCGGCTTTGCTGGGGGAAGCGAGCATCCGGGAGGTTTATTAGAGATCCTCAGAGATCATGAAGACGAAGGAACACAGCAGGCAGGTCAGGAACACAAATCTGTAGAAGTTGCAGCAGCGTTAGGATATTTAACTACGTCTCAAACTGCGAGTGCCGCAGGACTAACTCAAGCTTTTCGACCTCAGAGTTGTTTCTTCTCAGCATGTTCAGGTAACACGCCAAAGTCTGGCAACCAAAGTTGTCTTTTTGCTTTTTAATAATAAAAAAGACGTTTATCTCTAGACTTTTCTGAAAAGTTAAACTAAAATGCAGTGTAGGTCAAAAGGTCGAGGTCCAGCGGCTCCTGATCTGATTTACTGTTGTTTATCATCAGTCACTGGTCAAATATTTACCCTTCTGTAACACAAAAACTATATCAGCATAACAGGAGTAATCGCTTTACAATAATAAACAACTAAAATTATATCACAAAAAATGGCTACAACACAAACTTTAAACATTTCTCAGAGGGAGGATCGGTCCATCGTCTTAACGTGCCATCATTAACGGCACAGATGGAGCGAGTATTCAAGGCGAGTCAGACAATCGGAAGTTTCAAAACGTTTAATAACAGAAAATAATAGAACAGCAGAAAGAGGCCCGCCAACCTGGGATCTGTTTAAATAATAATGGATAAATAGACCATGGATGTGATTATACAAAGTAATGCGGATGTTTAAATGGATCTGTTTGAGTTCAGGTAGTACCTGAATGCACCTGTTGGAAAAACGACACCCAGTCTTTGAGTTTGTGGCTGGTTGAAAGCTGCAGGCCGTTGGATTTGGACTAATTTTCCTCTGCATGTGCGCTGTAAACATCCTTCTTTACATGGTTCCAGGTAATCACTTCACTGGTCAGAGATGCAAACAATATTGTTGAGAAATGATGATAAAAAGCTCTAGTTTGTTCCACCTAAATGTTCCCTAAAGCTTAATGAGGAACCTGAACGTTTCCAAGCAGCAGATTTCTGTGACTTTGGCTCTGGGTTCTCTTTGCTTTGTTAAAACTTTAGATTTTATGGCTCTCTCTTTAATACGTGAGCAGCAAAGAGAAATCTATCATAACACTGGAAAAAATCTTAATCTAGATAAGTCATTATTTCTTAAAATAAGTGCATTTGTTCTTGAATTTAGCAGGTAAAAGACACATTTTGCCAATGAAACAAGACAATTTACATTTAAAATAAGAAAACACAATTACATTGTCTTATTTCAAGCGCATTTTATCTAAATATCTCATTTTAAGAGTAAAAATACTCATTCAATTGGCAAATCATGTCATTTACCTACTCAAATTAAGGGTAAATTCAC